CGTTTTTTGGTTTTGAATGTGAGTTTTTAGCTGCTGCCGACTTAGGTTTGCTGTTACTCGGTTTTCGTAAATTGTGTTCCAGAGGTCGAGCGGAGGACAGAGCTTTGAGATATATGGCCCGGTGTTGCTAGACACAGCTGTCGTTTTCCGGATTGGAGGTCGGGAATTAGATGAATGCAATTGACATTTAGTGTTGTTTCAGAGCTGGCTGATGGAGAACTGGCGATGGCAAGTGATTTCCAGCTGTCCGATGCAATGAGCGCCATTGGTTTGTTTTGTGGTTATTGTACTGGCATCCACACCGTCGAGGTTGCCGGCGCAGTAAAATTGCTTCGTCTTTATGCTGACACTCCAGATCCTTCCAGTGACTGCGTCATGCATACTGTTCTGATGAGGCTTTCGGTTGCATCCTGCCCCCTACCTCGGCAGAAGATGCGGCACTGAAAACATATGAACATTGAAAAATTTAATGTGTTTGCTCTTCGGAACCGGACACCCGCCTTCTACAAAAATTTTTTAGTACATCTGCAGGCGAAAATTCAATTTTTGATTTAGGATGGGTGTGTGGAATCACGTCGTAATAGTTTCGCGTAAATCTGAGCATTATCTGTTGAATCTGTAGTTTCAGCGAGGAAGGCATCCTAGTTTACTCGGATAATGGGAGTGCTTTGAAATCGGGCTGTCTGTGAAATTGCCGATATGCGTCTTGTTGCACATGAATACGGATTATAGGATGATTAATATTGGCCATGTGATAGAAAAAAAGTTGGGACGAGTGAGAGGGCTAGTGATAGTGCTGTTTTTGCACAAACTGATGAGAGAGGGAATAGTGCGTGCAAACTGCAGAGTTGATGGATCCGAAAATGGATATCGGAATGAAGCCTTTCGATCCATCGATTACGTTTGAAAATTTGGTTTCGACCGGTCGTTTAAATATCAACAATATGGATCATCGCGAAATGATCGCCACAATGGATGCTATATTGGCTTCGCTGATGTCTTGGCTTGAGGGTAATTCAATCGCACAAACGGTAGGCTTTGAACCAGGTGGCCTCCACTGTTTAATTAGGTTTTGAACCTCCACCCAAAAGTGGCTTCATCACACTTTTGGAGCATAGTCTTTTTTCTTATATGTCTTTTTAGCGGTTTTCGCAGTAAATTAATTTCCCTTAATCGATTTACAATCATTTTTCCAGCACACTAGCACTTTTGCACCAAATTTTTTGCTGTTTTAGAATAGGTGAATTACTGGCTAAAGCATAGATTGTTGCAGCTTCTCACGTGTGTCTTTCTGAGTCGTGCAAATTTGGTGACCGATCCTTTGTTATCTTCATTTTCATATGGTATTTTGGAACTTACAACGCTTTTTCGCCATGTAATACAACTAGCCTCTGTTTACGAAGAGGTAGTCGTTTTTTTTCTGTATTTACACCCTGAATTTGTTTGTAAACAGTTGGTTTTCAAGCTTTTCATTATTATTTAGCCGAAGGAGCTTTTTTAATATAGCTTCTCATCAGCTATCCATAAAGTCACTTGAATTTTCGCTTTTGTTATATTTTCCTGTAATTGCAACTGTGCTGCAATTTTATAGCTGTAAGTATGAATTCTTCCATCTTTGTCGTGAGAGCTGTTGTATCGGGCATGCTGGTTGACTTCAGATGGCATCCCGAGCACAGTCTTAGGAGACTGAACCACTGACAGATCTCTGAATAGTTGTTTTTGGTGAAAATGGGGTCGTTTGGGATGCGGATAATCTCTGCCTCTGTAACTCTTTAAGGTGGGGAATTTGTTTTTGTATACGCTAACAATGTATGAAAGGTCTAAAACTTAGTCGAAAGCGTACCGGCTGCCAGTACGAGCAGGCGTTTTTTTCACAGTTCCCCCGCAGGTTTT